TTAGTTTGCACTTTTTTTTTTTTTTTTGAGACAGAGTCTTGCTCCATCTCCCAGGCTGGAGTGTAGTAGCATGATCTCAGCTCACTGCAGCCTCTGCCTCCTGGGTTCAAGCAATTCTCCTGCTTCAGTCTCCTGAGTAGGTGGGACTACAGCTGTGTGTCACCAGACCTGGCTAATTTTTGTATTTTTAGTAGAGACAAAGTTTCCCCATGTTGGTCAGGTGGGTCTCGAACTCCTGACTTCAGGTGATCCGCCCATCTTGGCCTCCTAAAGTGCTGGGATTACAGGCGTGAGCCATGGCGTCCAGCCTGCAGTACTTTTTTAAATTGTAAAGTATATATAACATAAAATGTTAACATAAAATTCAGTGGCATGAAGTACATCTACATTGTTGTGCAACCATCCTCACCCTCCATCTCCATACCTCCCTCATCTTTCCAAACGGAGACTCAGATTCATGTGTTCTTCATTCCACCTCTGTTTCCTCATCTGACGGATGGAACTAATCACTGAGTGTGCTTTGCACGTGCTTATAGGTGGGTAATAGGTATTCAGGTAACGTTACGATTGTTTTCTTCTCTTGAGGAAGCTGCTCTGGAAAGTCAGTGCAGCAGCACCGCACGGAGTGGTCTCTAGAAACCCACAGCCCACCGCCGCCCGGCTTCATTTCTGTGGCTCAGGTACATTTTCTGAGAGCTGCTGGGGAAGCATGCCGCCCATCTCTTCTGGGAAGATGAGTCACTTCCTCTGCTGATGGGTTATGAGCCTAGGGATGGGGAAGGCAGGAAGCAGAGCACAGGCAGCTGCTTCTCGGCTGGTCGGGGCTTCCGTAGCAGCTCACATAAGAACCATGTGGCCAGGTGGATTCTCTCTGGTGTCTAGGACACCCTAACTTGCCTGTGTGCCAACTGTCTCAGGAGGGGCTGGAGCAGGCTAACTTCCTTCCATCAGTGCTGCTTATTCAGAGCACATCAGTTTGCATTTTGCTTGATTCTCTCCTTTTCATATCACACTCCCAACACATCACTCCCCACCATTCTGCGCACACACTTCCAAGATTCACTCACTCCAAATCTTCCTGGCATGTGCGTCTAAAATCATCTCACCTTCTAAGTGGCACTGTCCTTATTTAAATGCATGTCCTTTTTTTTTTTTTTGTCCCCTAGGTGGAACTAGGGGAGAGATCAGGCCTCAGGCGTCCCTGATGGATCCTGGTTTCTGGCCTGCTCTCGGACTAGGGGAGCAAGTGGATTTATCCAGCAAACAGGCTGAATGGCGGTGTCAGAATCAGAGCTGGGTCCATACAGGACGCTTAGAGGGCCACAGAATCTCCTCGTAAGAGTCCTTCTGCTGGGGACTCCAGTCTCTTCAGTTAAAGACACCAACCATCCTCCAGAAAGAGCCAGGGGTGGCAAGCAGTCAGCTTAAGTGAACCAGTTAAGCCTTTGGAGTAGCTTAGGCTGGAACTCGGCCAACATTAGTTGCGTGGCATGGGGCAGATACTTCATTTTTCTAAGTCTCAGTCTCTTCTTCAAAATGGATGCAACGATTACGACTAATACTCATTATTTGCTAAGCACTATTCTAAGCACTTGTATCAGCTCCGTTAATGCTCCCAACAACCTATTATAACCCCCAATTTACAGATGAGGAAACTGAGGTACAGAGAGACCTGCCAAGGTCACACAGTTGGTAAGAGGCAGACCAGAATCTTAACCTAGACAATCTGGCCCCAGAGTCCAAGCCCCTGAGATGGCACTTAACCGTCTCAAAGGGCAAATTTGAGGACTTAGTCATCATCCACTGGTCCCTAAGCCATGAGGTTGAATACGGAATAAGCCAAGTACTAAGCTGCTGCCTTTGACGGACCCTGGGCATTTTACTTTCCTTGTCAAATCTCAGGTTTCCCTCCTACAACAGGAGGGGCTTGAACCCCAGCTCCGGTTCAGCAAAGAGCTCACCATTTGCCTGGAAACCTGCCCCTCCCAGGTCCCTGTTCTGAGCTCCTCCTGTCTCCTCAGAGTCAGCCCCCATCCCCACAGCCTGTGTGGCAACTCTGCCTTCATATTCCTCTGTCTCTTACTCCCTCTTTTCCCTAAATTCAAAGCCCACTCTTTGTTCCTGTGGAACCCTGCACAGCTTCCTGAATCTTCTGTGACTCCTGTCTCCCTAGTTCTAATCCATCCTCCACATTCTACTGGAGCCATCTTTCCAAACACTAATCTTTTTTTTTTTTTTTTTGACAGGACCTTGCTCTGTCATTCAGGCTGGAGTGCAATCGTGCCACCCTAGCTCACTGCAGCCTCAAACACCAGCAATCCTCCAGCTTCAAGCTTCCCAAGTAGCCGGGACCACAGGCTTGCACCATCAGGCACAGCTAATGTTTTTTTATTTTTATTTTTGTAGAGACAGAGTCTTGCTATGTTGCCCAGGCTGGTCTCAGACTCCTGGGCTCAAGTGATCCTCCCACCATGGCCTCTCAAAGTGCTGGGATTACAGGTATGAGCCACTGTGCCCAGCTCCAAACCCTAATCTTATTGTGCCCAGCCTTTCTCCTCAGAGCAAAGCCTATTTCTTAGCCTAACATTTGCTGCTCATCACCACACACCTATAACCTACCTTACATTTTCATCCCTGGCGCCTGTGTATGCACAGTTCCCTCCGCTCAAATGCCCTTCCTGCCTTTTACCACTGGATAAGCACAGATCCATCCTTCACGTGATAAGGACGACCTCCAATCCCTCCCAGCACCACCCAAGTGTTCTCTGCTTCCTCCTGAAAGAATACGCATGTACTCACGGTCGTATTCTAGCTTTCCACGTGTCCTTGGCTGACGAGCATCGAGCTGGCTGGACATTCCCTCGGGGAGCTTCCCATCAGCCAGTTCCTCTGCCTGCAGCCTTCCTCCTGTTCATTCATCTGAGCTGCTCCAATGCTCCAATGCAAATGGAGTTTTTCTTCCCCTTCTCAGACACTGGACTAAGAATGGGGGCAACCCAGGGTCACCTGTCACAGGACTGGCATAATCCCAAAGAGAAGCTGAGTGCGAGAGTCTCAGGCTTTGCAGGGTGAGAAGCCTCGGAGGGAAAGGCTTCCAGGGAGTGGAATCTCTGTGGCTGTGGTGGCGAATGAACTGAGGCACTTGATTTGCAAAGCACTCTCACATAGAGCAGCTCACTAAACCTCACTCGAGCCAATATTGCCATGATTATTACCCCCATTCACAAAGAGGAAACAGAGGCAGAGAGAAGTGAAGTCACGCGCCCAAGGACACACAGGCCATACTTGGAGCTGAGATTTGAGACCAGTGCGTTTGGCCACCAAAGCTGATGCCCTTACGCTGGGGCCACACTGCCCCCTGGTGGCAGCGAGGATGGTGGCGGTGATGAGTATGTACTTAAAAAAAAAAAAAAAAAAAAAAATTAGCCAGGCGTGGTGGCAGGTGCCTGTAATCGTAGCTCCTCGGGAGTCTGAGAGAATTGCTTAAACCAGGAGGCAGAGGTTGCAGTGAGCCAAGATCACGCCACTGCACTCCATCAGCCTGGGTGACAGAGTGAGACTCCATCTCAAAAAAAAAAAAAAAAAAAAAAAAAAAAAAAAAAGAAAAAAGAAATACCTGATGATCAATCCTCCATTTCGCAGAAGAGAAAACAGGTTCTCAGAGAGCTAAATGCCAGGCTTGAATCCAAATTAGTCTGGCATCAAGATCAGAGCATTTAACCACGATACTGCCTCCCAGTCGCATTCAATGGGGAACAAACACTTCTACAGTCTCAATATCTTCACAAAATTCCCCCACCACTCCAGCCTTAAGTGAGGGTAGGACCTCCCCCTGCAGCGCCAAATCTGCACACTGACCTTTATTACACTCTTTCTACTCTCTTGTCTCCCACTCAATGCCCTGGGAGCCCAGACACTGGCTTCGGAAGCTCTCCTCCTCCTTCTCCTCCTCTATTGACCATCCTCTTCCTCTCCCATTCCTTCAGCCTCTCTACTGGCTGCTTCCTACCCATGAATGGTGGGAAATACGCTCAAGTATCTCAAAATTTTAAAGTACAACAAAATTCTCCCTGACTTCCTGCTATGGTCTGAATGTTTGTGCTCCCTCAAAATCCATATCTTAAAACTTGGCCAGGTGTGGTGGCTCACTCCTGTAACCCCAGCATTTTGGGAGGCCTTGGTGGGAGAATTGCTTGAGGCCCAGGGTTCAAGACCAGCCTGTACAACATAGTGAGACCCTGTCTCTACAAAAATGGAAAAAACTAGCCAGGCATAGTGGCATGCGCCTGTAGTCCCAGCTCTACGGGAGGCTGAGGTGGGAGGATCACTTAACTCCAGGAGTTTGAGGCAGTGAGCTATGATGGTGCTACTGCATTCCAGCTGGTATGAGTTGGAGTGAGACTTTAATCTAAAAAAATTAAATGAATGCATGAATGAATAAATAAATTAAAATTTAAAAGGTCAGACATGGTCTCAGCTCCCACCTATTTGGGAGGCTAAGGCAGGACGATTGTTTGAGGCCAGGGGTTCAAGACTAGCCTGGGCAACAAAGCAAGATCCTGTCTCTACAAAAAAAAAAAAAAAAAAGTTTTTTTTTTTTTTTTTTTAATTTAAATAAAGCCAACCTAACCTCTAGGGTGATGGTAATTAATGGTGGGGCCTTTGGGAAGTGATTAGGTTGTAAGGGTGAAGCCCTCTTGAATGAGATTACATCCCTTATAAAAGAGGCCTGAGAGAGCTTGTTGGTCCCTTCCACCATGTGAGGACACAGCTAGAAAGTGCCATCTATGAAGCAGAGAGCAGCCCTCACCAGACACCGGATCCACTGGCACCTTGATCTTGGACTTCCCAGCCTCCAGAACTGTGAGCAATGAATTTCTGTTGTTTATAAACGACGCAGTTTAAGGTATTTTATTATAAAACCTTGAACTGACTAGGACACATCTCATCAGTCTCCAACCATCCACATCTCTCTCTCTCTCTTTTTTTTAAGACCACAGAAGCCTGACCATTCTGTTTAATTATCTCTAATAATCCTTAAAAATCAGCACACAAATCCATTCCAGGTAGCTTTGCCTCTCCACTTGCTGTGGTGGCATTTGTCCAGATGCCACTACCCCCCTAAGAGTGGGTCAACTTGGGGGAGCAAGACCTGAGAAAGGAAAGGAAAGGAAGGGAAAGGCCCCCTAGTGCCTGCCCCACAGCCCTGGGACAGGCACATATTTAGCCTGACCTGAGACAGGGCGGGAAGAGGCCACAGGGCTGAGTGCAGAGACAAAGGGGCCAGGGTCCCAAGTGTCCGGGCCCCCAGCTACCCACCCCATGTCTGTTTTTGGTTTTGTCATTAAAAAAATAAAGTGACAAATACTGGTGGAAACCAGTTGTTGCACTGTCTTCTGTTAAAAATACGGACCAAGGGCATAGAAAGTCTCCTCTTCAGCAGGTCCTGCTTCACAGGATGTCTGCCCGCTTGCTCCGCACACGGCTTCGAGCCTTGGTCCGGGCTTTGAAGGTGGCAGTGTTGCACAGGTGCTTCTCGAAGCGTGGAACCTTGCAGGCCTTCAGGACAGTGGCATCCAGCACTAGCACAGGGCCCAGGCCAAAGATGTCACGGAGTAGCTCATTGCTCTGGAGGTGGTGGTGCATAGCTGAACCCAGCACTTCCTTGAAGGCAGTGTAGATCCGGTGCCCAGCCCAGCTGTCTCTGTAGAGCACCTCAAAGCCGAAGCGCACTATCTCTTCTTCACGTTCACCGCCCTCCACCGAGTGCAGCACGGCGCGGAAAGTAGAGCCCTGGCGCTGGCGATCGGCCTTGGCACGGTACTTGTTACTGTCAGTGGCCAGAGTGCGCAGGACACTGCAGAGGGCCTCCATGTCCTCGTAAACAAACACCTCCTCAAGGTCCCGGGCAAGCTCAAAGAGCAGTGCAATGGTTTCACCGGCAGCGATCCGCAGGTTCACACTTTCACTGGACAAGAGCTGGGGCAACCGGGGCAGCTGCCTGTCAAGGATGTGGCTGATTTGGGTGCTGGGGAAGATGGTGAGCAGCAATGCCCAGGACTGCAGGGCAGCACAGAGCAGGCCGTGCAGGCTGGCAGGAACCACAGGAGTCGTGGAGCTACCCAAGCCATAGAACCGGCTGAAAACACTTTCTAAGCAGGCAAGGCAAGAGACTAGGTCCTGGATGTCGGCAGCAGCCACGTAGCAGCCCAGGCCAAGAGCAGAAGCACAGTGGAGCCGGGCAGCAGGGCTAGCTGTGCTGTCACTGAGCACAGAGACCAGCAGAGGCTGCAGGCTGTGGAACAGCTCCTCACCCTTGGGT